TCTGATTGGTATTGCTAGTGAAGGGATGATTGCAGAGATTTCCGAAGAACATTTCCCGTGGAAGTATTGATAGAAAAGTGAAAGGTCGCCGACCTTTCTACGGTGTTCCAATGATGTTAAAGAGTGAGTGAGTGTGGCGTCACCCACTAGGCGAATGGCTCTTCTCTGGATGGAATCTAAGAGCATCAGCGTATGTTTTGGTGCTGAACCCCATATGTGGGAACAGTATTCTAGAACAGGCCGTATCTGCGCTTTGTAGATCATAAGAAGCTGTTGAGGTGTAAAGTAGCTTTTCGCACGGAACGAGAATCCGAGTTTTTGTGAAGCAGCTTTTGCAATGGATCTGACATGATTATCCCATGAAAGAGTGTTGCTGATGGAAATACCGAGCATAGATATGGTGGGCTTGGTGGGGATGGTGGAGCCAGACATTACAATATCGGGCATACTGAGTTCCGCCATTCTAGAGAAAATGCAGGCTTGAGTTTTGGTGGCGTTGAATTCAACTAGGTTGTTCGTTCCCCAGGCTGTGATTTCAGCAAGATCTTCATTGACAGCATTGACCTGCCTGCGCCGTGAGTTCTTAGTTTCCTGGAAAGAAATGGGAATTCTGGAAGAGAACGCAGTATGGAGGGTACTATCATCTGCAAAGCTGTGGATGGGGCAAGTTGATACTCCCAACAGATCATTGATATGAAGCAGGAATAATGTTGGTGCCAAAATTGATCCTTGTGGAACGCCGGAATTGATGCCAATGGTATCAGACGATACACCGTTCACCACCACGTGAAGCGATCTGCCTGAAAGAAAACTCGATAAGAGATGGCATAGCTGAGGTGGTAAGCCGTATGATGGTAGTTTGTGGAGGAGTCCTTCGTGCCAAACACGGTCGAATGCTTTCGATATGTCCAACGCGACAGCTAGAGATTCTCCGTGTTTTTCAATTGAAGATTGCCATAAATGGGTGACGTAGGCAAGTAGATCTCCAGTAGATCTTCGGTGGCGAAAGCCGTATTGTCTATCATTGATGATTCCTGAGCTCTCCAGATATTTGATAAGCTCAATATTGATGGCTTTCTCCATCACTTTGGAGATAACTGATAACAGGGCAATGGGCCTGTAGTTGTTGGGCAGGTTTTTGTTCCCTTTTTGGGGGATTGGTTGGACTCTAGCTGTCTTCCAGCATGATGGGAAAATACCCGACCTGTACGAGATGGTAAACAACTTGCAGAGAATCGGTGTTAATTCTGGTGCACATTTTTTGAGGATAATGGGTGGAATTCCATCAGGACCGTTAGCCTTATTCGTTTTGAGACCAAGCAAAATTCGTCTGATAGTGCGTTGATGGAAGACGATTTCGGGCATTCGACTCTCAACGGGTGGAATGTCTGGCGGCAGTTTTCCTTGGGAATCTAAAGTAGAGTTTGCTGCGAACATCTCTGCAAAAATATTCGCTTTCTCCTGCGATGTTGTTGCTAATGTGCCGTCGGATTTGGACAGTGGTGGAAATGAACTATTAGTGAAATTTCTTCCGACCGCTTTAGCAAGGGACCAAAACGAACGGGAGCCATTGGGGCAATCTATGAGTTTCGATCTTATCTTGGCATTGTATGTTTCTTTCGAAGCATCTATTGTTTGGCTGCAGTTATTCCTGGCATCAACGTATTCTGCTCTAGTCGCGTGGTTGGGGTTTTTGCGCCAGCGATGATAGGCTGTTTGTTTCAAGGCAACAGTTCTAGAACAGTTTTTGTTGAACCAGGGTTTCGAAGGTGATGATCTTCTCGAAAAATGAGGTATGTATGTGTCCATTCCGAGCATGATGATCTCGGATATTTCCGCAGCACACTGTGAAGGGTCCTCAGAGTCAAAGCATACTCTATGCCAAGGAAACTCGGAGAAAAACATGCGGAGACCGTCCCAATCTCCTGAATTGTAATGCCATATAAGCCGTGGAGGTGCCAGAGCAGTTGATGGAATGAAAAATGGGCAGGTTGTGGAGATGAGTGTGTGGTCAGAATTGCCAAGTGGAGCTCGTATATCTATGGTGTAGGGTGCTGAATCATTAGTGAGGAATAAGTCAAGTATGTTAGCTGAATGGTTATTGGCATCGGGAATTCGTGTGGGTTCTTTGATGAGCTGCTCTAAGCCGTGAGTGATGGCGAAAGCTTCGGCTTGTCGCCCAGCTTCATACGTTCTGTTAGAGTGCACGAGCCAAGCAGTGTTGTGCACATTGAAATCGCCCATGATGATGATTTCTGCTGCTGGATGGTTCTGTTGAATTTGGTCAAGCTTCAGAGACAAGAATTCGAAGAGCTCTTCATAGGATGAATCATTTGGTGATAAGTAGAGACAACAAAGGTATTTGGTCTGTTTCTGGCTATCGAGTTTGAACCACATGACATCAAACTTATTTGGTTCCAAAGTTTTTTCTTGTTGGCATGAGAGATTCGTTTTAGAGTAGAGGCAGAGACCTCCCTTGAATCTGAAACGTGTGTGGAGTTCGTACCCAGGACAGAGCAGATAGGTCGTATTGGTGGATGAATTGACCTGTGTCTCAGTAAGAGCCAATATGTCTGGCTTTTCAATTTGAAGGTGTCGATGGACATCGTTGATGTTCTTACTTAGACCTCGGATGTTGCATAGGTCTATCTTGAGGACTTTTTGAGCCGATAGTGAACCCCCTCTAGCACCTCTCGCCCGGAAATCCGAATGGAGAGGTATTTTACTTCCGGATAATTTCACTTGAGGAGAACTCATCATCGCGTATTCTGTATAAAGAAGGGAGGTTGGCGTGGAAGGAAAAGGAGATTGGGTTGGGTTGGGTTGGGTTGGGTTGGGTTGGGTTGGGTTGGGTTGGGTTGGCCGGAACATCAACCAGCTACTGAAACACGGGTAAGTATACCCATTTCACAGTGCCTATGGTTGATGTGGTGGTATCGCACCGGGCGATGGCGTTAACCATCTTCCACCTATTGGCGTCCTTTTAGTCGCCTTCTACGACAGGCAGGACTTACCGTGGGGTTATTCTAATCCGACCACCACACGGTGGTCACTGACAATTTCGCAGTTTAAGGAAATTTCATCTTGGGGCCAATTATCTTACTCATCGACCTAAACCGACGATACAAATTTACACGTTTTTCACAACATGTGGCTCTTGCATGATGAGGCTCCACCACATTTCACTCTGAATGTCCATTGCTGTTTCATTCAACAGTTTTCAGATAATAAGTAGATGAAACGGCAGAGGAAATATACTATAGTTTATGGGAAGCAGTACCTATAAAGTTTAAGGTGTACTTCAGACCATTAAATACTGAACAGGAATTATGGAGACGGATTTAGAATGCATTGAATATTTTCAAAAATAATGCAGAAACGATGCAAAATATGCATTTCAGTTTTTGTGCTGCCAGTGAATTGGTCAGCTTCTTTTCCAATTTATCATCCTAAGTAGGTACTATCTATTTTTTTATTATATTATATACTTTAGGTTTCACCCATGAACAATGTTTGAAATAAATGAAAATAACATAACCTGTCTTTTGAATACGTATAGGTTGGTATATATGTCTAATATATGGACACCATATGGATGTCCATAATGGACACCAAATGGATGTCCATAATGGACACGAAATGGATGTCCATAATGGATAACGTATGTATGTCCTAAAATGTGGAAAGCTGATTACCTATGCACATCCATAGGATTTCCTGTGTACACAAAGTGGTTATCCTATGGATGTCCAGGATGTCCGGGTGAGGATATCCATTGGATGTCCAATGGATGAAGGTGTGTTATTAGGGTTGGGGTCAGGAAGTTGGTGGATGTGACAATACCCACCAGGCGAATAGCTCTGCTCTGGATGGAATCTGAGCGCATAAGCGTATGTTTTAGTGCTGAACCCCATACATGAGAACAGTACTCTGAAACTGGCCGTGTCCATATAGTCTACATTTCGAGTTGCCTGCATAGCATACAATCGAGATTTCAAATCACCCCATGAAAAAGTCCAAGTGGGTAATATCAAGTGATCTTGGTGGCCAACGGATGGGATCACTTCTACAAATCCAATGACCTGGGAAATGATCATCTGAGAATTTCCGCACAGCAATAGCATAATGGGGAGGTACATTATCATGTTGAAAGTCATTTCATTTTCTATCAATTTGTTTAGATAGAAAAAAGTCATGAGACAGCCTTCAAAGTACTGATAAATGAGTATGTGGAAAGGATGGAGAGATTTTATGCTGTGTCAAGTCCGTGGTTGTGGTTTGACCGGGCACATACGTTCAGTATGAAGTTTGACCATCAGTATGACCAACCAGCTGTTTGGGTCACGTTTCAAACCTGCCCACAGAGTTACCATGTTGAATTTTGATGGGAGTCGAGTCAACCATTGACCATTCTGGTATCACCACCGTGGTCGGACGATTGACTTGACACAGCCTCAATCCATGCGCAATCTTGGTCAACAATTATAACGCGACTGTCACCCATGTAAATACTATTGTCAAGTATTGATTCTGTTCAATAACCCTATCAAATCTCAACCCATTTGGCAAGTGTGAGAATCGACAGGTCCCGGCGATTGCTGGTAGATGATTCGGTTTTCTATAGTTAAGTTAGGATAGGAAATGGGAAATAGTTTTTGTTGGAATACCCTGATGTGTGAACTTTTTCGACTATTTCTGTTCCTGGAATCTGCAGTTGAATTCTTTCTATGTAATTTCATAACACCCTGTATAAGTAGGTCATAGGTACACCTGCACGTGTGAAAAATACAAAAAACTGGAAATTTGAAACTCTCATGTATTGATACCAACGGGAGGAAAATCAGAATTGAAATTTCAGGAGCCCATGCCTACTAATTTTTTTAAGGATACGTAGTCCTTTTGATATACATATTGTTAACCATGCAAAGAGACTATACACTCCCTGTTCACTGAAAAACTATATTCGGTCAGAATGAACAATTCGACATAACCGTACTAACCTCCAGCTGCATATTTGGATCCCAGTCTCTTCAAATACGTATTGTAATTGTCCAGCGCTATCTTCACTTTCTTCAAAGCTAATGGTGTTCTTTGATAATCAAAAAATATTGGTGCCATCTGAAACATAATGACACGATTACTGATTATGTCATAGGTGTACAGAAAATAATTGTTGTTCCACGAACACAAATCTCATGGGTTTACTGATGGTGCTTTCTATTATTATATTGTACAGTACTTTCGTCTGAATGAAATCATATTTGGCCAAACTACAATTTTGAGATATTTCCTGAAACAAGTCGATTTTTGATATCCATTTGCCACATTCATTCGGAAAAACCAAATAAACAGAGTGATTCAAGTTCGAGTGATGAGGTCAGCGACAATTTATTCTGATGGGACACACTATAGAGCGTTGAACTTTGGGTGGAAAGAAATGCATGTGTTCGAAAAATGAAATTTTATTACAAGTTAATTATTTTGGTTTTCATCTCGAAATACATAGTTTTGGAAAAACATCATTATCTACAAAAAAAAACGAAAAGTATATAGGTATCCAAATGCAAGAGAAAATCAAAATTGATCGTTTACGAATCGAAAGCAGAAACAACACCCAAACAAGTGAGGTACGTAGTTCTTGAAAGGTATCAGATTAGTATAGATGTAGTTTTCATTAGGTATTAGATTAGTATAGAGGTCAGATAATTTATACGACGCTATAAAAGCAGATGACATGTGAGATGGAAGTAGAGGCCATGGCACCATATCATGAGCATATTTTTATATTGAAACTATCATTGGGCACCAAAGATGTGTATACGACGCTATGAAAGTTCAGAGAACTGGAGATTTTTCCCACAAACTACGTACTTAGCCCACTCGACTGTCTTGGTTTTTTCACACAAACTACGTACCTAGCCCACTCGACTGCCAAAAGGGACTAAAATAAACAAAAGAAAGTTGAAACAATGCAACATATCTCATCTTTATGGGATATCAAGACAGTCGAGTGAACTAGGTACGTAGTTTGTGGGAAAAAATCAAGACAGTCGAGTGAGCTAGGTACGTAGTTTATTGGCGAAAAATTAGGACAGTCTAGTGAGCTAGGAAAGTAGTTTATGGGCAAAAAATCAAGACAGTCGAGTGAGCTGGGTACGTAGTTTATGAGCAAAAAAATAAGACAGTCGAGTGAGCTATGTACTTACGTAGTTCATGGGCAAAAAATTAAGATAGTCGAGTGAGCTATGTACGTAGTTTATTGGCGAAAAATCAAGACAGTCGAGTGAGGTAGGTAGGTAGTTTATGGGAAAAAAATCAAGACAGTCGAGTGTGTTTTTTTTTACTTTCTTTTGTTTTTTGATTTGTTTTCTATTGGCAAGTGATTATCTAGGAACTTGTGAATTTTTTAGTTTTTTCATCGTATCTCCCGAGCTGTTGAATTCAGAGAAAAATGTTATTTGGATTTCTTGTAGATTATATCAAAAGGAATAATTTTGGTTCCATAACATTTTCAGATATTTCCAGTTGTTTTCGAGATATTTGGAATTATCTGAGGATACAATTTTCAACACTTTTGTTCCATCTTCCAATCAACACAAGGAAAAAATATTTCATGATTCAGTGGGAGTCGATGAGCTTCATCTATCGATAATCTTTGTTCTTCAATATACCTTCATGGTACCATCTATGGGTCGTTCAAATTTTTTTTTTATATCTTTCACTTTATTTCCTGTTCTATTGGGTTTACAGAAAGAATTATGGGTAATAATTTGTAGGAAATGTTCCAGTGGATAACTTTGCACTACTGATAATTTTCGATTTCTCCATTTGTTTCCGATATATATTTAATTGAAAGGATTTCAAATTTTGATGTTTTGATTTCCATTTGTTTTTTCATTTTCCGATGGATGCACGAAAAAATTGTTAAATAATTATTTGTTGCGTCATCAAGGAGGCATACGGTGCATTTTTCAAATTTGAATTTATATTGTGTATTGGTTCAGGAGACATGTCGTTTTAAAGCGAACCGTGTGTTTCGGAAGATCTCCTTGAAAAACCCACTTGAAATTTTCCGACCCTGCTCAATTTCAATAGGCTCTCCTTGATAGAGTTTTTTTTTCACAAAAAATGAAATTGATCAGACCACTTTTGCGATTTGTAGAGTGGTTACAAGAAACTTCCGGTGAAAAATCGAAAAAACCCGAAAAAAACACCTTAGAGTTTTCCGATTTCCTTCATTTTGTTCACAATGATATGAGTTTCAGGAAAAAATAGCCAACGTTCGCAATAACCGCAAATCAACATACCTATCGTGAAGAAAAAAAACCTGTATATTCGAAGCTGTCAATAAGAATTCCATTATTGGACATTGATTTGATTAATTTTCACCTATGTATATGGAGTTCCGCGAAGTCCCATTGTTTACTCAAAAAAACGCTCAGAGAATTGATTTTTTATCGATTAATCCCCTCTTGTTTTCGAGATCTAATCAGAATCGACCATTTTCACATAATCTCCAGTATTATAAGCGACATTTCTTGGTTTCTGAATTGTATTGGACTCGCTCTACACAGAAGAACCCAAATTTACACACACATGACCAATTATCCTCGTTTTCATCGATAAGATATAGAATTTCCCCATAATATATAACGTCAGTTTGTAATGTGTTTTTGTTATCAAACAAAAAGATATAGAATATAACAAAACATATTCCCATGCTAACGGCAGCTTTTCATCGGCGGCATATGGGTTGTGAGTTTATTGCTTATGAGTTATATTTTGATTGATGATATTAAGTAGATTAAATTATTCAATAAAGAAAATGACAAAGTTACAAAAAATGAATACTACAGATTTTATTTGGACGCCACTGATTCTTTCAAGCTATGTTCTGCTTTGGATAAAAATCAGAAACCTGAAAAGTGGGAGTTGAACCATTAGTAAAATAAAAAAAAATAAAACAGGAATTTTACCTAAGAGATTTAATATAATTTTCACTTGAAAATATATACACTACCTATCCAAGATGTGTATGTAGATATAAATGCATATATACATGTATGTAGATATAAATGCATACATGATATGTATGTACAATAATTATTTACATGGTTTTGTTGAATGATTATCAATTTTGGAGAATTCAATGAAATGTCAATTTAAATGTTCATTATGCATAAGATCAAAAAGCCCACTTGAAACTTACCTATGTTTTCAAGCTGTTAGAAAAATAATATAGTATTAAATATACCCTGGGGAAAATTCATGAATTTTGTTGGGGGTGTAAATGTTGTTAATGAATAATATATGTACCTATGGTAACTTGTGAATGTTCAGAAGGGCTTGAACATTATCAATGTCATATAAATTATTTCATATTTAAATTATGTCATTATATTATGTAGATCCAAAATCAATTCAACATAAAAAGAAATGAACATGATACGACTGGCCTGTTAGTTAGTTATCCAACGTTGATCCACTGATCCATGGCATGGTCGAAACATAACAAAATCGGCTGCTGCAGGTGTCTTCCAAGAAGAAAAAGGTGAGAATAAAATGTGTCTATTCTTCTTATGGTGCTGATGTTACTGGGAAGTTCCCAATGGTGCTTTAGCACCTACAAGTGACCATCACGTGGTCTTTGGTCGCAACAAGGGGGCCCACACTGCTCTCTGGTAGCACAGGGGACTGATTTGATGTGCCTCTATCAAAATGGGTGTCCAAGGAATACATTATATCAAAAAACCCTATAAGAAACGAGACCTCTTGTTCAACTGAACCGAGAAACAAAAAACGTGGTGCAACTTACCTCTGGATCCAAGAGGGTTTTCCAGACAAATCAACGATAATATAGTGCCGTTACTTGGAAACATCTTTATGGCTAAAATTAACGATGCCCACCGCATCCTTCAACAGGAAAATAAACTCTAAAAGAGTTTAATGAATCGTGGCAAAGCACGAAGCACGAAGCACGACCTCTCTACTCGCCCAGTGCCAAGATGGAGATGACGGAAACGAGCTTTCCGGAAATATTCCAGACAAGATATCCCCACTCAAGCAATATTCAACGAGACCACTCGAGACAGCAGGTGACTATGTAGTCAGGTGAAAGTGAAACGACACGAACTTACACGAACTTTCTGTAAGCAATCAACAGCAACCAATTAAACATTAGAAGAAGAAGAAAGTTGTTTACAGATTACACAGAAGATGAAGAATTCGATTGACGTTTATCATCAAAGTATTTTTCTAACCACACATTCCAAGAAGATGAACATTGGATGAACTTTGAAAAATAAAAAATTAAAATTATTATTATTTTGATAATAACTACCCACACATATATGGACGGACTCTATATACATGACAGGTAAGCTCAATACATTTTCTAAGAAAACTGTATCTTATCTGAGTATCATATGATTGATAAAAGAAGGTCTAACACTGTCTTTCAACTTCTTTCAGGTTTGAAAAGGAGCTGTAAATAATTATGAAAACACTGGAAACTGTCATAAAGATATAAAGCAAGAGGTGCTTGTAGATTGTGTTGCCAAAGAAACATTGTGAAATATTTCATGACAGCTGTAATAAACAATAACTGACTGGTAAGTTTGTTTTCATTGTACTTAGATTATCATAAGTGTATCATTATAAAATATAATATTAGGTATTTTAATTTAACCTTTTCTTTGTTACAGATTCTACTGGTGAGGTGTTACAGCAGAATACAGGGAGAGACAGTGGACATACAAGGTGATGTTACAATATTTATACCATATGAACTCTGTGGAACTAAATTCCAAATAAAGGTAGGAAAACTATAATAGTGTTTGTTTTATTATAGCACAAACGAGTAACGTTTAGGTGAGCTTACTTGTTAGGAAAATAAAAACGTTACAAGTTATAATCAGTATTTGATTTTGACGGCACGAATTTCTGTGTCATCATGATGAAAAGTAATTTGAATACAACTCGTGATACTATTTTTCCTACAAATATTAGTCGATATAACATACTCCAGTAGGTTGCTTTAATTTCGCTCATGACACTGTTTCGGAAATTCTCGCCTACGGTTCGATAGTGAAGAACAATGTCATTTGCGAAACTATTTGGCAACAAGATGTCGAAAGATCCGCCGAATATTCCTGGCAAAATAGTATCACTTGTGAAATCACCCTCATACTATCTGTAGGTTAATGGGGAAAGTGGTACACTGGTACATTCATGTTGCTCCGTTTTTTCGGAATTCATTTCCTCACTTCTACCCTAATAACACACTTATGTCCCATGGATATCCTTAGGACGTCCTGTCGGGACATTCAGGACGTCCATAGGACGTTCGAATTTGATACCGTGGACGTCCATTGGACGTCTGTGGGACGCACAAATGTCCCACTTGAGGACCAACTAGGGACGCCCTTGATGGATGTCCCTGATGGGACGACCATCGAATACCTGAATCCTACAGAGGACATCCTTAGGACATCCATAGGACAACCTATCAGCAACGCTGAGGGATATCAATTGGATGTCCATAGGATGTCCCAGGGAAAAACGAATTATTATTGAATTTGCATTTTTCTGGGTCCCTCTAGGACCAGATCTTGCATAACTGATTAGGACATCCAGTTAAATTGATGGTCCGTGGAAGGTCCCCAAAAAGGTTCCCAAGGATGTCCAATGGACTTACGTGAAGGACATTGACAAGGAGTACTTATAGCCTACGAGCAATCATTCGTCGGCGAGGTGTAAGTTGATGTCCTCGCAGGGACAACAAATTGAATATACCGACTGGGACGTCCATAGGACGTTATTTCTAGGACATTGGAAGAGTACAGTTTATGAACCAATTGGGACATCCGAAGGATGTCCCTAAGGGACATTTCGATTGTCATACGATAATGGAAATATTAAGGGCGTCTGTGCAGATATATTTGAAGGAATGTAACATCAGGGACATTTCAAGGTTGTCTAGAAGAGACATTATATAAGATCTGAAGTCATGCCAGAATATGTACTACTCGGGACATCCGATGGATGTTCCTCATTGCATGAGATGTACGGGATGGAACGTCCCAAGGACACTTGTTTTTGGTTCGGGACATTCGGACGTGAATTGTACCAAATAGGGACGTCCCTAGGACGTTGTGTGCTATTAGGGTATATTATCAAATTGAAATATGAGCATAATTTCGATTTCTTTACGCGTTGTTAGACAAATTGAATGACTCGACCCAAAATGTCACTGCGTTTAAGACATTTTTCTGACAGAAAGAAATCGAGTCGTTTGTCAGTGACACTTCGTTTTGAAAAATATCTCGTGAAAATATACATTTATTGAGGAAAAATCGAATTTGTGATTATACCATATCTTTCGCCGTTTCGGAAACGACTCTGCTCTTGATTTGAAGATGAAATAATTAATGAATTATTCTTCTAAAAGTGTCTTCTTATGGTGTGACACTTCAGTATAAGAAGACAATTCTCGAAGATTGAAATTTTACATTTTTTATGTTGAGGACAGGAACAGAGTCGTATCCGAAACGTCCAAAGATAAGTGAAAATTCGATATTTTCCAATATTTATCTATCAAAACAAATTGTCACGCACAAACTATTTGATTTTTAATTCAGACTCTCTGTCAGAATCTTTCTTAAATTCATTGACATTTTTGGCCAAATCATTTGATGTGGCTCACCATACATACACGTATTCTGAAATAATTCTCATATCAATATTTTCATGTTATCGAAACAAAAATCTCTGATAATCAAGCAAAATGTATCAATCCCTCCATAGATAGAGAAATACTCACGCTATATTCTGATATGTATCTGTAGTAAGTTGATAAGTTGAAACATAATCTGTGATTGATCACTGCTCTGGATTTCGGATCTGATGGATACAATGTTCCATCCTTTCCATATTTCTCAGCAAGATATTGTAGAATTGCATTACTGAAAAGAAATAATCATGGAATTAGGTTTGCAGCAGTTTACAGTCTCAAGTTTCAAGTCGAAATTTCCAAGTCACAAGCTTGAGCTGAAATTGTGTATAAATTCAAAATACATGACAATGTGCGATGAGGTGTGTGACTTTATTCTCAATCCAATATGGCGGACCATCGAAGATGGTTAGATATTTTCAATGCACTTCTACAAGATATGAGTATCAAATGTAAGGGCTCGTTGAGAGCAACCCAAGAATGTGATATCATTCTGAATTCAATATGGCGGATCATCCAAGATGGCGAAATAGTTATTTTCAATATACTTCAACAATAATGAAAGGGCTTGTTGAGAGTGACTCGGAAAATGATGTTACGTCATTCTAAATCCATTATGGCAAAACAGCAAAGTAGACGAAATAGTAGGTAATTTTCTACTTCCACAATATATGGGTATCAAAGAAAAAGGCTCGTTGAGAGGAACTATAGAATAATGTGACGTGTCATTTTGAATTCAATATGCCCTACTGCAATATATGTCTAAAATGAAAGGGTTTGCCGAGAATAATGAGAAATAATGTGACATCACTCCAAATCTAATATAGCGCACTATCGGAGATTTCTGTGCTTTTCTATCAAATGAGAATGTTCGCAGAGCATGAAAATACAGGTTTTGAAAAATCGATTTTTTGAGCCTGTAACATCAATTGATAATCTTTGACATGTGTGATTTGGCGAGATAGGAATAATACTGAGGAATCTCGCCAGCGATAACTAGGAAGTGAAGAATCAATTATTGAAAGTGAATAGAGAACAAAAAAAAGCTTTCATCCAAAGGCGTTTAAAACTCTTTGCGGCTCAGCGATACACACATTGTACCACTCGGTATGTTGCATTTGTGGCGCAGTCACGCAGTGATACATTGAGTGTACCACTAGTTTTTTATTTGCAGAGAAATATGAGCTGATCACCTGATAGAACGCTTTACTAGATTGCATAGATGTGATCATATAGGTGGCAGAGTCCTCTTAATTTCTGAGTAATTCCAATATGGCTACTGAATAACAATGGGCAGACCAGGGCAGACGGAGTAAACCAGCTAAATGCACAGATAGAAAGGTTTTTTTCTATCAAACAAATCCTTTTTTTTTATCGCTTGGAGCGCACGAAAGGGAATACCTATAATGTTCAAAGAACATCGTGCGTTCCTAGGGTGGATAAGGACAGGAGGTAGGTATTGGAATTTTATTTGATGAACTTCTGGAGATTATATGTTGTTGATAATACTTTCACAGGCAATGAGTTCCAGAGCCTAGCCGTTCTATGGATGAAGGAGTTTTGATGTAGTGCTGTTCGACATCTGTCTTGAAATCAAATTATTTCGTTCAAAAATGTTTGGCAATATATACACTTGTCTCAAACTAATGGCCTTGCTTGCTTCGTTTATTGAAATATATCGATATGAATTTGCTCATCAAAAACAGAATATTTCTTCATTCATGCAAGTAGCACACATATATTGGGACAATATCGGTGCAATATTACGAAAATATCGGCAAAATATTGTGAAAGTAATATTGGCGAGAAAAAAAATGTGAACATTCGGCGATATTGGTACAATATCAGTTTCCAAATGTGGGTAGAATATTCTCATATTAATATTGGTTGAATATTCGTAGAGTTATATCGGACACAAAATGTAATATCAATATTGGCGGGAAATTAATGGTGAACATTCGGTAATATTGGTGTAATATATGGAAATATCGGTGAATCATTGAAAATCATCATGAAGGTATGTTGTCTCAGAAGTATTGGTAGAATATTCTCATACCAATATTGCTGGAATATTCGTTAAGTTATATTGGTCACAAAATGTGATATCAATATTGCTGATAAATTGACAGTGAACATTTGACGATACTGGTGCAATATTGGTTTGAAATATTGGTACATTATTGAAAATCATTATGTAGCTATGTTGTCTTCAAAATATTGGTGGAATATTTTCATACCAATATTTGCGAGTTATTCGCATCAGGAATAATCACAAAGGTCAGCCCAGCCGGAGTGCAATGAAAGGGCCTTGCATTGGGGAAGCCTCCTTGTTGATCACGGTTAACCCCTACTCCAGGTTAAAATACTTTACAATCGTCTAGAGCTAATATTCATATTCTCTCGTCTGATCGGCAATGGGAGTACGTTACCAATCATTTATAGCGCCATCTATCGACATCGATTTGGGAGTGCGTAATATGGAATAAATATCGAGATTTCGATATCGATATGTATTGTCAAAGCAATATGTGAACAATATTACTCACATGATATAGTGAATCACATATCAGCCAATATAAGATGATATTATTTTCTGAATATCGCTAGAAAACTATTCACCCGATATGCAATTGAACTTGAAATTACAATATTGTTTTTCTCTTCTATGTCCGATATAAGATATATATTGAATTGCTGTTATTGATATTCATATTTGAATCAATGAAAACCCCTTCAGAATCGACATGGGGAGAATGTTCAAATTGCTTTATTGGTTATAATTGTTGGAAACAATATGTATACGATATCTTCCGCATGATATGAATATAATGATATTAATCAAGCAAGGTGAATATGATATTTCGAATATTGTTGAAACAATATTCAACCAATATGCCGTCGAACTCAAATATTGAATATTGCACAACCGCTTCAGAATCAACATGGGGACAATATTCAAATCGCGATATTGGTTATAAATGTAATAAGAAGCAAATTGTATACGATACTTTCCGCAAGATATAGAAAAAATGATACCAATCAAGATGGGTGAATACAATGTTTCAAATATTGTTAAAACAATATCCAACCGATATGCCGTTCAACTTGAATATACAATATTGCATAACCGCTTCAGAATCGACATGGGGAGCATGTTCAAATTGCAATATTGGTTGTAAATGTCGGGAACAATATGTATACGATGTTGTTGTATGGACATTCGTAAAACAATATTATATAACATTCATAGATATGTTTTTCAACACATTGTTAACGGATTTTACAACCTATATTGCTCCAATATTGTAGCTGACAATCCATATTCAGCTCAGGTTGAACCAATATTCCACCAATATTATCATTCCAATATTATTTGTCCAATATACTCTCATATTGGACCTATATTATTTTTCACATGTACGATATATCTATATCGGCCCAATATGAAATCGGGTTCCAGCCAATATGATGTGCTACCTGGGGGAAACCGCGACTACTAGTGACATGAATTCCAATTTATATTGGTTCAAGGAAATCTCTGCCTGTCTGAAAGAATTGAAGTGCGTTTATACAGCGGTACCTACGCTTGCGCCCATTCGACTTCTCAAACTTACCGCCATTCGTCATTGCCGCTGTTGTGAAAATGTCAATTTCTGTAAACGAAACTTTCAAAAATACAAATCTGTGTTTGCTGATAGCTCCTGTTATGTCAAAATATAAGAAAGAAATGGAATGACAAATAAAGGTACGTATTTGAAAGACATAAGTTGATGATAGTCTCTGGAAGACGAAACGTCGGATATCAAACTTGAAAACGCCCACTTGATTGTTGTAGGAAAGTGAAAGTGGTCATGATGAAGTAGAATTCATTTCAATAATTGAATTGAATTTAACAATTGAAAGTGATTTCAAAAGATATCTTGTGTTTTCGTATACCTTCAAGATTATTCGGAATTCCCAAGTTTCGGAATGGCATTTTCTTGGACATGAAACTGTGCATTTTTGTCATCATTCAATCGTCCCTTCATCTCTTTCGAGTTAAGATATTTCAATGATGAAGCTCGAATTCCAGCAACCCAGTACAAGGGTTTGATTCAAAATTCCCGACCTATAGATTTGTTTTCGGTGAAAGTGATATTCAATTGTTATTTCTTTCATGGAAATTATGGGTTTCAAGGAACTATATCTCCAATCCAGATGTGAAAAGACTAACATAATATACAATTGATTGACGCCCTGTCCAATTATATTCTTGCCACCAGGTACCTATATCCACCAATGATCTGCAAACATGACCACATGAAATATTGATACTATATATGGTAAGGATAGAAATACCAGCCAGTTCAGCGAATAATATGATGATTGGTTCTCAAAATTCTATATGCGCCCACGAAATTCAGCTTTTCCCAACGTAAATGATTTGTATTGAAAAATTAGTACATATGAAGAAATATATCTACGTCAAGAATTCGTTTCCTTCATCTGATACCAATATCAATTCTTTGTTGGTATTTTCAACAGACAACGACTTTTCAATTCATTGTCCTTTCAAGTTCATAAGATAGGTATCTGAGAATATTCCTCCAATTCTTTCATACCCAATCAACGGGTTCGAGCTTGAACTATGATAATTTGATATTCATACAGACATCTAATTAATGATCCGAATCCTTCGAATGGTTTAGAAGTTATGATGAAAAATCTTATTCTTGACCACAACTTTGACACCATGTATCTCTGTAAGGAAGCATTTGGAAATAGAGTTCTTTGAAAATCTACCCCTTTTTCATTGTTTAATAGCCTATCAAGATGACGTTCAACCTAGACCACCCTGTATAGTTGGGAGATGTGGTACCTATAATGAGGGCGCACACTTTTTCAAGAACATTGAAGAGTTTTTTTGAGATTTATCTATCAAACATCAGCCCATCTCACTCATCGCCCGAATTTCAGAAAATTGTTCCGTCTGCCCTAGTGCCTGTGACTAAAAATACTATTTAGTTGGGTATAGGTTCATACAAACATACCTCTCTCCTAGAAGAAAGCCATCATCATCAAGAACAGGAATTTCCTTCTGTGGATTTTTCTGAAATTTCAATTCTCTTGAATTCAGATGATATGTATTGATTCAGCTCAACAACTAGCACCTACCCAAACAGCACCAAATATACAGGGTGGGGCATTAGTGCGTCGGAGCTCGATTGCTCGAGTTCAATGATAGCTAGAAACTTGATTCAAAAACGAATGTCAATGAGACCACAAGGTCAGATACTAGAAATTATTGTCGGAAAAATCTAGAGGGTCGGGATCACTTTTTTCAAATTGTATGCCCTATATATTAGCGGTGTTTTTGAAGCATTCCTGTGACCTCAATCAACTCCTTTTTTATTGTTGAATATTTCTCGATCATTTCAAAGTTATAATTTTTTTTGTCGGAATAATGATCTGCAGATCCATACCGGAGAAATCACTGTGTAGATTGTAGATTGTAAATGGGTCGTATAGGCTGAGAGACCTCTCGATCACTGCGACCTAGAAGATCCATTGTGATTACCCATATCTAGTTTTGGTCCTCTAACCCTAGACTTCTGATGAAGCCTACGATTTTCTTGACGGTTGACTTTTCCACTTCAGCAGGGGTGAGATAGACCTGTTCTAGGTGGTTCAGCCTTTGGCGGACTAATACTTCACATGAGCAAAGTATGTGTTCCGCGGTTTCGGTCGCATTGTTACAAAAGCAACAAGTGTCAGTCTCCGCCAGACCCATCTTTTTGAGGTGGTACCTCAGAGGGCCGTATCCTGTGAGGAAGCATGTTATAAGCTTTAGCTCTGGTTTGCTGAGGCTGAGTAGCTCTTTGGCTCGGTTCTGCAAATGGTTGATGAACCTTTTCGCTTGTCGTTGACCTGGAGTTGCTCTCTAGTAGGAGGACTTTTCAATTTCTTCCCATCTCCCGAGTTTTCCTTTTAGGTGACATTTGCTTATATCACAAAAAATCTCAGGACCAAAAAGTGCAGATGCTGCACCTGTTTTTGCAAGGCGATCAGCTGCCTCATTTCCTTCGATTCCTTCATGCCCTGAAACCCACATGAGTATGACTTTGTTGCCCTTTCTCAGTTGCATGAGTGTTTCAAAGCAGTTCCATGTAATCTTCGATGTGAAAACGAATGAGTTTGGGGCTTTCAGTGCGGCTTGGCTGTCTGAGCAGATATATATGTTGGCACCCCTCAGACCTTTGCTCATGCACCTTTGGGCGCAAAGGTTGATGGCATGTATTTCAGCTGGAAATATAATGGAGGAGTGACCTAAGGCTTCAAATAGCCTACATCCGGGTCCATATACACCCGCGCCTACCCCTTCTTCCATTTTCGAACCATCGGTGTACCAAACAAGGGAACCTCTGTCCAGCTGAGGCTCAGCGGAACCGTACCTAGGGCGGCTCTTCATAACCACTTCAAAGGTATGATCGAAACTGAGCATGGCTGGCATTATGTCCAATGGTTTGGTTGCAGATTCCATTTGTACTTCTTGTAGAATGACCATGTGACCAGTGACATCACCTGGTCTGGCCAATTCAGTGGAGTTCAGTCTGTATGCACTGAGAGCTGCTGTCCTCTACTAGAGAAGCGTGTGTGACCATGGGTCTGACCACCGTGAGATAAGACCAGTAGATCATATTTGGTTTGAGACCCCACGTTTGGCCAAACATCTTTCGGCATTGTCGGTCAATTGTTGGTTCCACGTGAGTTTCTTGTCTAGAATTACTCCTAGATATTTGACCTCTTCGGAGAAATTGATAGGCGTCCCACCCATAATGGGTTGCTTTAACTTGATCTTTCTTTTTTTGATGAATGGAACGTGAAACACAATCATGAAGTTAGAGAGAACCATGATATCATTTGATAGAATGATGCGTGATATTCCTGTAGAATTTTCATGCCCTAGAAGTATTGAAATGATTCTTCAATTCGGAACTTTTGGAAGTGATTTTTCTCGAGTTTTTCAATTGGAACACCCCATATATTCTCAGGCTATTTGGTGTTAAATCGAAAAACGATCATCATTCAACATCCATATTGATATTCGTCATCATTTTTGGATTATTGAACTTCCAGGTTGGCCATTTTCATCGATACACATTCTTATCTTCTATTGAAATATCAGAAGTCCAATCAATGAATCACTAAACCAGTTTTTTTATTGAAAGAATTCAAACCGTAATCAAAGCAAGCATCAGAGATAGTTCATGTACTAGTAATTCACAAAGTGAAATGAGAAAGCATTACCATTTCCAAAATAACCCATAAATTCATAGAACATCAAAAACACAACCAGGATAGTAATTCACAATTACGCAAAATGGAAATTTCTGTTTCATTTTTCACTTCATGACTAACTAGCATATGAACTCTTTCAATCTGTTTTGATTCTGGTATCAATTCTCTCATTGAAAATGCAAGTTTACTAAGTCATTGATTGGACTTTTGATGTTTCAGTAACAGATGAGAATGGGTATCGATGAAAATGGCCTAGGTACCTATAATTTTAAACTCGAAAAGAATCACTTCAGGAAGTTCCGAATTGAAAAAACATTTTTAGCCACCCTGTATAATTCCAAGAATATCACGCATCTGTCCATCAAATGATATCATGATACTTATCTCCTAAACTTTTCAATGGTGATTACAGTGATTTTTTCGGAATGAATCTGCAGATGACATTATTTCGACAAAAAAAAATTAATAGCTCTGGAATGATATTGGAATAGACAATAATATCATAGCAGTCGATGGAGGTCACAGAAATGCTTCAAAGAATTCGCTACTATTCAGGGCATTCCATTAAAAAAAGTGATCCTGACCCTCTAGAATTTTTCCGATGCCCCCTGTATATGCGGCAATAATTTCTAGTTACGGATCTCGTTGTCTCATTGACTTTCGTTTTTCAATCAAGTTTCTAGCTATCATAGAATTCGAGTAATTGTGCTCCGACGCACTTATGCCTCACCCTGTATAGTTAAGAATCTCACAATATTGCGGTTGCGGTCTTCCAGAAATGTTACAGAAATATTGCTGCAATATCACTAATTTTATTGAAATCTACGAATTTATTAGCCAACCCTCGATCATTCATTGATGCTTCTTGGATGATATATGCAATATTTGTACATGCATAATCTCTGAGAGATGTTGCATCAATGTTAATTATTGAAGACTTCGTAATGAAAGATGAATATAATACTATATACTACAGGAGATAACCTATCAATACACCGAATGCGCACTGATGTAACCAATAGGTTCACTAATTCATTCAGTATTTTGGCATAATTAGATCATCAAGTACCGTGGTACATTGAAGAACTCATTCAAAAATGTTTATATACCTATTATGGTAACTAGAATATACAATGAATTCTGCATATCATTTTCGCAATATTGTCTGAATATATTCTCGAATTCTCGAAGTCATCTGCAACATCATCTGTTAGATATCATGGCGTACATTTGGATATTTCCGAAATATTGCATCATCAATGTTTCGCAATGACCCAAACTACTTATTTCAAATCTGCGCAAATTACGTTTCTGCAATATTTCTGAAACCAAACTGTGCTGTATGGGTAGTGAAAAATTCAACAGTTGCTCACCTTCTCAAATTCCGCCGTCATGTGATCTCCTGCACCAAAATCTACGTTCACCAAATCGTAGTCCAAATCCAAATAAGCCAAAGCCTGTTGGACAGCCAAAGATGGGGGACCATCAGACACAGAATAGAGGATCAGCTTCATATTAGTGCTTTCTCCAGATTCTATTTCAGATAAGAAACTACTGCGAGTTTTCAGGAGCCCAAGCAAACAACCACTAACGTAAAATCACAGTTCGATTGAATCGTTGCATAGGAACTCTACTGTACTATACATTTGATGCACTTTCGATTCGATATACTTCGCAGAGAAAGGAAGGTCAAGCAAACAAGTATTTCAAGGGTGTATTAATATGATACTGAGTTTATAGTCCTAGCGATACATAAGGCAAAGGTGTGAGAAACTCCAGCCAAGTTTGTGAAGTTACAATTTCGCGAGCTGACAAGATATTTGCATGTGCATCCTACATTTGATTTCTCAATAAATATGTGGAAACTGATATATTATATCGTGAGTTGCTAATCAGTCTTGTTCCACAGAATCGTGAAAAGATCAATGCGAGGATAACTGTCAATTAAAAAGAACAACGATTTTTTTTAAATAGCAATGGAGTTGATTACCAAGCAACTGAGTCACAGTATAATAACTATATCAACAATTGCCAAGGGCGTTACATGTGAAAATTTCGGAAATGGCTGGAAAATCTGCGATACCAAATGGTCAAACGTTCTAAAGCAACTGGACAGTGATGTGTCTGCTCGGGAAGTCGAGACCGGGAAACATGTGAGAAGCTGTAGAAAAATGTTCCTATTTAATTCGAGGAACAATAAAATATCCCATCAAATATATATGCATTCGAGAAGAAGCATTATTATCTTACTTCTGATATTCACATTTTAGTAAATATTTTTGAGGTCTAATTGTTTTTCTATGCTCAAATTTTATATAGCAATACAGGGTATGTCACAATGATCTTACACTATATGTATATCGGGAATCAGTCTGAAAAAATCTATGAAAATATGCATGCTCATATTTTAGAATACGCTTCCTTCATTAAAACTATTTTCAGCAATGCAGTGTTGTCGCTTTTATCAAAAGTAACAATAACTTTGTTTTTTTTTCGAATAGAATACGATGAATTTTATTCCATTTTCAGATTTTTCCTGAAGGGTTGATTTCATCGATCAGGATTTTTGAACTCAAGGATTAGTTTGTGTCGGAACTATTCATTACTGGAAGGATAAAAGTCACCAGTACTCAACGGGGTAGAAATTCCGTTCGCCCTAGAGGCAAAATACTTAGGAGTCATCTTTGACCATAAGTTAACATGGAATCAACACCTACAAACAATTGTTCGAAGAAGTACAGTAGCCTTCAATCTGTGCAGACGAATGTGCGGAAAAAATTGGGGACTGCAACCAAAAATGACCACATGGCTCTATGTCAGCGTCATCAGGCCTATGATAGCATATGGGTCAGTAGTTTGGTGGCCAAAGACACAACAAGCTGGAGTGATTCGAAGGCTCAGTGCTGTTCAAAGGCAAGCTTGCCTGAGTGCCACTGGTGCAATGAAAACCACTTGAACAGCCGCTTTAGAGGTCCTCTTGAACCTACCACCACTACAAATATCTATTCAAGGCGAAGCCAGAGCAGTCGTGAGTAGATTGTCAAGGGGTCAAGCACCCATAAGCAACGCGCACGGTAAAGACTATAGGAAGCTATATGAAGAGTTGGAAAGCGACCCCATCATGGGGATGCCAAGGGATGGCAGAATTACAAAATATAGCTTTGAAAAAACTATTAAAATAAGTATAACGGACAGAGTGGCATGGAAGGAAGGACCTCCTATCAATGCAGACATTGCTGTCTATACGGACGGCTCCAAAACTGATGAAGGATTAGGAGCTGGTATTTATGGGGCCAAGCCAAAGACAAGAATCTTACTGAGCTTAGGCAAATACGCGACGGTGTTTCAGGCAGAAATTATTGCGTGAAAGAATTGATAAGGCAAGAGTTCAAAGGCAAAACCATTGCAATCTATTCAGATAGCCAGGCGGCAATCGAAGCAGTCAACTCAAAACTAGTATGGGACTGCTTAGAAACCCTAAATGCACTGGGCAGTCAGAACAGATTGACTCCAGCATGGTTACCAGCACATACAGGGTACGAGGGCAATGAAGAGGCAGACTCACTTGCCCGAGCAGGAGCAACCAAAAGCTCTTAATGGCCCAGAACCCTTCTGTGGTATTGCGAAAGCTATACAAAAGACTAGTATCAAATCATGGATACAAACCAAATCTCAAGAATGGTGGAACAACTCGCCAGGAATGAGACAGGCTAAAGAGTTCATTAAAACCATCGCCAACATTCACAGAATATCTACTGAGCCAGAAACGAAGTTCAACTAGAATACTAGTGGGACTTCTCACAGTGCATTGTAAGCTCAACAAACACATGAGTACGATAAGTCTGACTGAAGAACTGTTGTGCAGGTTCTGTCAAGAAGAGGAAGAAACAGCAGTACACATACTTTGCCACTGTGAGGGCTTGTCAAGACTAGGTTCCTCACGCTGGGTGAGGAAAAACCAGGAGCCCAGAGATACACAGGAGATCTGAAAGCTAGCCTATGGAGTCTCATAGAGAAGGCGGGGCTAGCCGAAGAACTCTAATCGATTTTGAGGGCAGACACAATAGATCTGAAAAGGTCGCAGTGTGGAGGCAGAAAGCCCGAAGGCCCCATTCCAAATCTAATCTAATCTAACTATTCATTATAGGCCAAAGCGGCTCACATGTTCCTATCTCAACTAGTTATTTAGTTTTTACTGGTATTTCATCAGAACAGATAGAGGATAATCAAAATTCTGAATCTTGAACCACCCTGTATCTGTTTCGATTGAATATCAGTAAATAGTGGATCGAGAGTTGAGATATTGACATGTGACCCGTTTTAGCAGATAATAAATAGTTTCGACACAAAAAAATCCTAAAGTTGAAAAATCTCGATAGACCCCAATTGTGATACATCGATGAAATCAGCTCTTCAGGGAGAATCTGAAATTGCGATGAAACACAGGGTACCTAGTACTTATGGTATATCAATGTTGCTCTTACTTCCTAGTAGAAGCGGTTGCACTGCATTGTCGAAGATATTTCAAATGGAGAGAACGTATTTTGGAATATGAGCTTGCACATTTTTCTGAATTTTTTCCGACTGTTTCTCGATATGGAGATAGTGTGAGCTTGTCGTGAGATATCCTGAATACATACTTCATTCATAAAAATAAAATAGCTGAGAAATTCCATTCGACCCAATTATCGACATGGGAAATTTGTGTCGTACCAAATATCGACACATGTGAGCATGTTATACTGATCCTTGATGAAATTGTTTCGAAGATAGTATTTACTTAAGTAAGTAACATACAATTCACATAATTTGATAATGATGAACTAACAACACGAAATGATAATATTCCCAAGAATCTCGCCTACATTATACCGAAATAATGTCACCCCTTCATATATTCTGATACTCATTTATTTCTTCACTAGTAAAAATATTCTCGCTGTTGAATTTTTTTGCTACAGCCTCACCTCTATAAATGAGTTCATCTCACCATTATTCCAGGCATTTATATTTTTTTCCCAGGTACTCAGTCGGATAGTGAGATATCCTGGTCCAGCTTGGATCATGCAAGGATCTCTTTCTGGTGACAGTTTTTGAACCTGTCAGTCAAAGAACCAAAGCAGCATCCAGTTGCCCTGTGATGGGTCAAGTGCCCAGGTCTCCAGCTGGTCATGACTCCTGTCAACTGTATGGAAATTCAGTTACCTCAGCACATTTTGCACCTGACGCCAACTTAGGAAGGAGTGTTTTTGTTTCATACAGGTAAGGAGATCTTGTGGATAGCACGTTGAATCTCATGGTACAAAATCCAGAACTTGCAGTTGAGGTCAGAAGTTTCCAATTGAAGTTTTTCCCTGTCTAATCACATTTGTCTAATCTTTTTTTTTTCTGTCTGAAGACAGTTCGATGATCATTGTTTCCTGTCTTGCGTCATTATACATCTGAGTACATGTAACCAACATTTTTCAGGCTAATATCGAAAATCTCAATCGAAAGAATCATTGAGTCTGTAACCCAGCGAGCACAAATACATCTCGAACCTCCACTGCGATGTTCTGTTCATATAGGGATAGAACTTTCATAGAACAGCCAATGTCCGCCGCAGGCGGCGTTCATAAAGGTATCCTTGGGATGTCATAAAAATACATTTTTCCTGGTTTATTTGATAGACTTTTTATGGACATAACATAACCTCTCCCAAGCGTTTTGCGCACATTCATTCGCTGCAAATGAAACATTCCTGGTGGATATATATTTAAGGAGAAAAGAATAAAAACCTCTTCCCCGCTGGGGATTCGAACTCACTCTATATAGAGATTGAATTTTCACAATCCTAGCACCTTGGCCACTGAGCCATGGGAACCTTATTGAAGAATGGTATGAATAAAAAGATGTCAACATGCACTTAGTGAGATAATAATTATTAGCATTGAGGCTGAGAATAAGGGTGAGTCAGAAGAAACATTATAAATATTGATACAAGCATAACATCCATATCATATTTTGATACGATTCTGTATGTCGAATTGAATGGTCATGGAATATTTGTTGCTAGGATGAACATATTTATTCTATGATCATTCTGAGCAGAACAGAACACGATATCAGAATATTATTCGTGAAGTATATTCTGGTGCTGTTTTGGATACTATTACGAATTATGGAGGTCGTTGGTATTATAACTAATACTTAATGGAATGAATAAAAGAGACACTGCAAATGCGAATGCGAACAAGAACAACATGCAGAATCGAAAAAAATTTGAATTCATCGTATTGTGACGTGAGCATGAGAAGTTGTGGTGAGGCAAACAAAGAAATGGCTCAGAAGAACAAATAAAAATAATTTCAATATCCTTCAAAGACCTCTTTGGGAAGTTATATTATGTCTCAAACAACAAATCCGCTTGCCAATATTTTTAAAAGATCCCAAAACATCCCAGAGGGATACCTCTCAGTTGGCACACAAAGAGATGCCACAGAAGAACGAAAACAATACTTAAATATCCTACGAA